TGCTAGTTTTCTTCAGTTTGCTTGCATAACATCTGTCTTAATACATTGAAAGCGGCTTTTCGAAGCTTGGGAAGACGCCAAAAATACAGAAATGGATTGACTGCTGAGTTGACGAATATTACAGTGGTAGCAAAGTTCCATTCTGGTTGCCACGCATATCTCGTTTCCGAGATTCCATTGAGAGTTAACAAACTGTACGCCGGACTATAGCATATAATTAAAGCGATGTAGAATACAAAAGCGCTCATGACACTTCTTCTTAATTCTACCACATGGGCACCGTCTCCTTCATCGTTGTTGTTTTGCACTGAACGTTGTTGAGCCTGAATCTCTGACTGATGACGGCGGACAATTTGAGAAATTCTGATATAACAACATGTGGAAATTATCAGACAAATGAAGATCACTGGGGCTACCAAGAGGTGATAGACGCGTTTATTCCATAGGTCGAAACCCGATAAGACGAAGCTGATCAACCAAATCATTCCCAAAATGTATTTTACACGGGATTTTGTCGCTAAAGTAGGATATCGGAGGTGAAAGTGAACTGCTAAAAGTCGATCAACGCTAATAGCTGTTATTGTGAGGAGGGAAACTGTACATACAGAGAACCCTACCATTATCGCCAGTTTAGAGATAAAACTGTAGTTTGTCAGTAGATCAGCAATATATATCGGTTGACCAATAACACCAACCAGGAGGTCCGAAACAGCGAGACTGCTGAGCAAAATCACGGACGTTGAGCGAACAGATGGCGTTCTTTTGATGGCGGCCAATACCACAGCGTTACCCAGAATGGAAATGAGCATCAGTGGAACATTGAGAAGGCAGATTATCTTGAAAATAGTATTGGAGCTTGCTTGGTCTTCGTTGTCTGAGTGATGGTCTGCTGATCCATTGTTGTCTTTCCCGGTGTCATTCATCCTCGCTGGCTGCGTTCGATATTATCAACTGAAAAATGTCATCTACCTTTTTCCATAAATGATAACAGCAAAGAGACTAATTCTTTGTTTCTGTTTGCTTCAGCGAAAAGCAAGGTAACTGAACGCTAAGACCCAGCAGTGTAGATCCTTCTACAGCCGTTATTTTTTTCCGCTTACTAAATTGCTTTTCACGCAGATGGTTTCAGTTCAGATGTATTCATCGGGAACTACCCGTTGTTTATACAAAATAAAACGACAATTTAAGTTGTTATTTATACAGAAGATCCCCGCTACCTCGAACTCGGTTGACTTGACCTCAGCTGCTGACTTGATTTTCCTAAGATTTGATCCCATTTTATTTTTCAGTAATTAACCATCACTTGATTAAAGTCGCTTAGCCTCGAACTTCACACTGCGACTTAAGAAAAGCATACATTAATTTCCTTCGGCTGAAATTTAACCTTGCTCTTTCGAACAGTGGGAAAATAGAACGGAAATTATCATCAAGGGAGAATTTCCGAAATGTGAACCATTCAATTGGAACAGAACTTACCGGAAATATATTTTGCAAAAATAAGTTGGTTATACCTCGCGAAGTAGTCCTCTTTATCATAATTCAGGCTAATCTTCCACTCAACAGTCCCACCCGCCGCTGGAAATTTCCGGCAAATCAAACCGGAACTTTTGGTTGAACGGAAAGCGAACGTTATTCCTCATTTCACCCTAGTCTTAAATCGCATTTTGCATCCAATTCAACTCGGCAACTCCACATGGCGCTTTATGAAGTACAAGAAAAGTTCTCCAAAAGATTATTTTTTCAGGTGGTACTCCAAGAAATGTATGGAGAGCAGTTATGACAATTTGGATATCGACTCATGAAACGGTTTTAAATCAGGAGTTGGTGACAAAAACTTTAAAGAACTTTCAGGGAAATTTATTCGTCTTAACCTTTGTGTGCATGAACAATCATTAAAACGGCGTCGTGGTGAAAACTATCAAAAGACACTTTTCGACTTCTTAATGGAAAATATTAAACTCCGTCGATCAATAATGATTGGAATATTTGTTTTTAGTTTAGATTATATATATATTTTTTTTTGTCAGGGAGAGCGAGGGTGTCAGTCATATGTAAATGAAATTAAATAACTGTGAAGGAAAAACAACGAAAAATAAAATAATTAAATTACAAGAAAGCCAGGTTTTCATCCTCTTAGCGTGATCAAACAGTGTTTTTGTCTGCCAAAAATTGACCAAGCATTACGGTTTTTTTCTCTGTCGTAAACTTACCCAACATGATGCTGTTCTTTTGAGTCTAATGTAAATTATGAACAATTATTCAACGCAAAACACACCGACATGTCAACTATTCATGTGAGAACAAAAGATAATATGTGGCAGGTGAGACATGTCTAGCATTGATAATGCATTCGCAGCGTTTGAAAAACTTCTAATCGTCTCTATTTACCCTTTGAAGGATGGATTTTATAAACATTGCAAATAGCCTTGAGATCAATAGAGAATTAAAAAAGAAAAGCAATCACCTTTTTGACTAGTCAAGATAAGTCCATGGAAAATATAAGTAAAGATAAGTTAAAAGTAGAGGAAAACTTTATAAAAAAAGTGTCAGGTATCTATCTCCTGAAAGCTTCCTTTTGCAAGTTTTCTTAGGGTTCATTTTACTGCTCGAAGCCTAAGCTTAAGATATTTATTCAGGTGTATTTTTATATTTGCATAAAACTAGAGCTGAACAGAAACAAACCCGGCCGACGTGGGCGGAGGAAGCAAAACTGCATCGATTATCTAACAGTCTTATACACCTTATTCCAAAATGGCAGCCAGTTTATTATTCTTTTGTTTACAGGGTAATTAGCCCTCTTTGCCTCAAAAGAATTTTGACGTGAAAATGAGGCAAAGAGGGCTAATTAACATGCAAACAAAAGAATAATAAATTGGCCGCCATTTTGGAATAAGATGTGTATCAGACGTAAACGAAGACGATGAAAATTGCAATTAATCTACCTTTGAAAACTGTTTGTTTGTTCACATTCAACCTCGTTGCCAGGCCTTTTCCCTTGAAATGTTTTCTTCAAAATTTCAAGGAAAAGGCTCTGGGAACGAGGCTGGTTAAAATTTAGTTTTACGGTGGCCGGTAACCGTTTCCAGCACTATACTTTGACAGATCCACACTTAAATGACTTTTGATGTTAAAAACATTGAGATCATCCACATTGTCAATCATGGTTAAACATGTTGTGGTCATCTTTATGGGATTTACACTTCTATTACCATAGCAACAAAACAACTTTAATTTTAGTTTTAAGTGCTTGTAATTCAAAAAAGGCTCTTTATTATATCATGGAATTGTGAGAAATGTGATCAGCATGTTATGACACAACGCTTAGCAAAGTTTAAAACACATTCTGTAGGTAAGGTTCAGAGCAGATCAGAGCCACCTTAAATCTTAAATCAAAATGTTAATGATAGTTTTTAAGGAAGATAAACACCAAAGTTGCAATAAACAAACAAAAATAAACAAGGACATGGCCACGACTCAGAAAGATTAATACAGATTACGAACAACAAATGTGGGGGCGCGATTACCTCATGGTTAACGTGCTAGACTCCGGATCGAGCGGTCCTGGTTCGAGCCCTGGCCGAGGACATTGTGCTTTGTTCCTGGACCAGACACTCTACCCTCACAGTACCTCAATCCAATCAGGTGTATTAAATGGGCTGGTATCCAATCCAGGGGAAAGTAATATTTTTTATACTTTGCAAAATTTTACATAGAATCTATGGGCCTATTAGCGCTTTTGCCATCCGGACATTTTGCACTTTTTTTGAAAGCCAATTTCTCCTGGAATATTACACCTAAAGAGCCAAACATTTTGCCATTAGGCTTTATTCGTATTCTTGGTATTGGACTGGAATCAGCTTGCAACTCAGGTTCATGCAGGGCTAAAGGGGTAATGCAGGGCTAAGTTCCCATCACAATTCTTCTCCTTTGAGGGCGCAGATATCGTTTGATATATCTAGGACAACGTGTTACGTAACTGCGAGGGTTGCGCGAAAAAAGGAAATATTAGTTCGAATAACTCAAATAAAATTCTGACCGGTAATTATTACCTTTTTCAGGTTTCTCCAGGTTAATGTGCACGGAAAGCATTTAATTCTTCTTTACGGTTAAAACACCGTTTTCAAAATCCTCCGGTGTAGTGTGGACGGATTTGTTGCCCAGTTAATGTTAGTGAAGGCAGTCTCTGATAATGTCCTCATATGAAAAATCAGTTCGCAAGCTCTACTGCCTCATTCAGTGGCCCATACCTTGTATTTATCTCATCAATCTTAATTTGTAAGTAGGTTTGATTTTCCATGCTCAAACTGAATATATCTGGGTGTTAATTATATATGCCTGTTAGTGAGCACTGCTTGATAGATTTTTCTTGATAAGTTATTTGCAAACTTTCCGTCAGGTCAATCTTCGTGGAAAAATCAGTATACCTTTTTCTTTAGCATCGAACATTTTCTCTAAAACTAAAACAATAACAATAAATAACGTCTGCATTCATTGCACGAAACTCTGCAACGTTCCGTACACATTCGCTAAACTGAGAAAACAAAATCGTTGGTTAATGAATGCTGGCGTTGTTATATATATCCAAATTAATTCCTTGAAAGCTATACCCTTCTATTTGAACAGTAGGCAGTTTCTGAAAGAAAGAGAGATAACAGATGGGATCGACAATCTTCAATCTCACATGAGCCGAATCGAATGCAAATGAGAAAAATCCTTTGTTCTCCCTCATTAGCATTCGATTCGGCTCATGTGAAGTACGGCGTCTGAACCTGGCCTTAGAAACAAAAATTAAATTAAATTAAACTATCGAATTACTTCGAGCCTTTAAGTTATAGTTGCGATGTACTAACTATGAGCTGCCAACATGTAAGTTTTCCGCCCCCTCGACTTATTTCAAAGAAATGGATTCGGTGTAAGTGAGAGAAATAATTTAAGCACTGCGTTCTTCTTGTTGACTTTGTGTGACCATGTCAGCACGAGATTCCGAATAAATTCAGCAATATAGAAGCACGTTCGCCGAAAAACGCAAAAAAAAGTCACGTTACGAAAAGTGAGCAAATCATCGAACCCAAAAGAGGAATCCTTACCCGACCATTCGCGGGGAAAGCAAACGTTTTGGTTATTATATCTCAATGAACGTATCTTTCATTCTAAAGCATTTGAAAGACCAGCTTATTTGTATATACATGTGCTTCGATTTCGTTAAAAAAATTAATAACAAAAAGAAAATTAAATATGTAGGGAGACAATCGTCTTACGTACTTTTTGGTCAGTTGTTTATCAAACGTTTTCTCGAGACGTTAAAAGTACTTTAGAGTCCTTCGGGCAAAATTATCTCTATACGTGACTGATGTTAATATATATCTCATAAACACAACGGGTTTTTTTTAAATATTTTTGTATTGGACACCAGTTTTTAAAAGATGAAACAACCTTTTTTATATATTTTTATATTGGGTATCATTTTTTACAATACTTTTTACAATATTGTTTTGATGATCAAAAAAAAAATAAAACATATAGGTCCTCATGAAGGGGTGGCGAATGGTCCTTCAGAAACCATGGGTCTCGCAAAATTTTCGCCGAATTTCACAGGTCTCTCAAGTCTCGTGTTTTAGCGGATATGTGTATCTCGCAGTCTCGATTTTTCTCACAAAGCTGACTCGCAGGCTCGATTTTTTTCAAGGCTAAGAAATTCGTTAAATACCGATTTGTTATTTTTTTATATATAAATTTAAATGACATCACAACATCTTAGAACCTGAACGTCTTGAGTTCGCATTTAAAACACTTTAAAGACTCGGTCTCGCAAATGAAGAATTCAAAATGTCTCGTGCCCGCAACGAAAAACGCTAATCTCGTCGTCTCGCAAAGTCTCGCATTTACCATTCGCCACCCTTTCATGAAGAGCGAGGCCTTCGATTAATGTTTCTCGATTTACTCAGTTCAAAGTAGAGCAGGGTGGCAGACTGTCAACAAGAATAACACTTAATTTCATGTAAGTACAGGAAGGTAGGTACAGCAGGTAGCAGGTATATTTACAGTGGAAACCGATTTTTCAGATATTCTATTTTATTGAAACTCCCGATTCTTTTAACCAAGAATCGCTTTCCTCCACTCAGTTTCAACACTAGTCTCGGAGTACTCAATTTTACAATCAATTCTTGTTACCCTTTTGAGGTTCAAAAGGTATACCACTAATATTTCTTTCGTTCGTGTTTAGTCCTGATCTGTTTGAGCGCGAAGCACCATTTTAACTGTCTTCACAACTGCAACTCGAAGTTCCCGAAGACGCCAACAATACAAAACTGGGTTGATGGATGAGTTCATAAATACCACAGTGATTGTGATGGACCATTCCGTTGCCCATTCCATATATCCCAGTCCAAATATCGTCAACAGAACATAGGCTGGCAAATAACACGCAATGATAAAGAGGTAAAATAGAAAAGTGTTCACAGCGTTTCGTTTCAATCGCATCATGCTTGTGTTGTTTGCAGCATATCGACATTGCACTGCCAGCTGTTGAGCTTGGATTTGTGAACGATGGTGGCGGACCGTGAGATAAATCCTGATGTAACAAAATGTGGAAATTATAAGACAAATAGCGATATATATTGCCGCCAGAAGGTGGTGTAAAAATTTATTCCAGATGTGAAATCCCGAACATACGAAAGTAAACAACCATATCATAACAATGATAGAAATTACTCGAGATTGGCGTACCAAAGTAGCATATCTCGTGTGATACTGAACAGCCAAAAAACGATCGATGCTGATCAGTGTTATTGAAGCGAGGGAGACACCACACGCGGAAAATCCAATCATCGACGACACACGATATAGGACAAGATTTTCCTTGATAAGTTCATTCGCGATAAAAAGTGGTTGAGCAATAAAACCAACAAGAAGGTCCGAAACAGCGAGACTACAGAGCATGATCATTGACGGCGAACGAATGGAAGGCGTTCTTATTATGGCAGTCAATACTAAAGCGTTGCCCAAAATGGATATGAGCATCACGGGAACGTTAAGAACACAGTTTATGATGGTAAAAGTTTCGGGTCGCGATTTATAGTTCTTGTTGGCTAAAATGTTCCTTGAGGATTCGTTCTCTATGAAGCCTGTATAGTTTTCCATCTTCTCATTCAGTCTTAATTCTTCAGCTTTGTCAGGCAAGAGTTAATGATTGCGACTTCGGAACAAAAACTGTTATTCTTCAGCGTTTTAAAACAAGACTAATATCACCCACCTACATATGCGTTGAATAAATTTCTTCGCACGGGTTAATAATTCTTTGTTGTAATTATGACAGAAAATTGCTAAAATTTACTTTTCACGAATAATCAACAATTATTTGCCGAAGGCGGAGTGAATATTTTTAAATATTTACCGAGACGCAGTCCAGTTGGTAAATATTCACTAATGTTTTTCTGAGCCAAGTGCGAGTAACTGTGTACTTAGGTAAACGTGTCGTGTAAGAAGTTCCAAAGGCGAGAGTTGTTTAATTTAATTTACATATTTTAAATTCCTTTTTCGTCAATATCATATCCCGGACTTTGAGTGGTGTCTAGCGAGTAAACGAAAAACTTAATTCAGTCAGCAACTGTTCGGCATGTTTACTTGCCTAGATTGACTAGATTGAGAACCAAACTTAGAAATGTCATATTCACCGATGAATATTAACTTCATAAGGCGTACTTTTCTTCCAATCAGAACGTTTAGTTGTCGGACATCATACTTAACATGATATCAGTTCGTTAAGGTTACTGTAGAACTTCAATATATAGTGGATGATACCTCTGATAGTGTAAGCAAAAAGATTTCGTTTAAACTAGCCAGGACAATTAAAAAGACATTCAGCTGAAGAAATGCATATAACGGCTCCCACGCGGCCATGATGGCTAGCAAAGTAGCTGAGAAACGCAGCGAAAAAGACTATATGTTGACCAGGACAAAGAAACAGGCAGTGATGTTAAGGCAAAACAATATTTGCTTGAAGTGTTAAATAAATATTTTAGCTCGATTGTTTATTAATTCATTCCACAAACAATACGTCTGGGCTGCCTGTGGTAACACAAAGGCTAGTAACTCAGTTTAGTAAGTACGGTTGTTCATCGCATCTTTTATTTTTTAATTTTAATTTAATTTTACTTTATTACAGTTAAAATACATGTATATGTTGTTACGTTACATTACTAACCTTGCATTCTTTTTTCTTTGCTATACGGCTGGAAGTAGAACGCCACCTACTCTACACCCTACTTACAGATTCTAATGTTTACTAAGTGTGGCTTTAGGATACAGAAGTTTCGAACAAGAAATTAAAATGGAATAAGAAACAGAAATCGACTAAGTCAAAATCGAAATATGAGTATAAGAGTTTAAATAGGAACTTCAAACCCAGTTAATGTTGGGTAAATTTACTTGGAATTGTAAAGCTATTTTCACATGTTTTGTTACACACCAGCTCAGTGTACATTATTTCCTTCATATCTACCAGTTGCCCAAAATTTCTCCAAGGCTGCTTTATACTTCAGGTAAAGATGACCATTTATTAAATCACCAGATTGCAGCATGTTGAAGTCTGTCGAAGTCTGTCAATTAAAGATGGGACTACACGCCACTGACATTTCAAAGGGCAGGTTTTGTTTTTACAATTGATCTGTTTCTTTGCAGAACATTGTTTTTGTTTTTTTGCTCTCTTAACAATTGCTGAACGTAGGTCACTAAGACGCCAACAGTACAAAATTGAATTTATGGAAGAGCTCAGATCATACAATCGAAGCATACAGGTTCCATTTTAGTGTCATTTTCGTCTTCGTGTTGGTCCCCATAAGAACCATGTTAAGAAACATGGGGAAATAGCATAAAATCAAAACGACGTAAAATACAAAAGTGTCCAAGGAGCTTTTTTTCAATGGCATTATGTTCAACTGAGTTATTACCAGCATTTTGTATTGCTTGTTGTTGAGCTTATATCTGTGCCTTATGTCGTTTAACAATTTGAAAAGTTCGGATGTAACAAAATGAGGATATCGACAAACAGATAACGATAAAAACAGCTGAAATGAAAAAAATATAAGATTACATTCCAAAGGAAAATGCTGAGCGAAAGAAAAATAACGACCCATATTGTTGCGAAGGTGCACAAAATCCGAGTTGTAGTCACCATAGTAACATATATATCTCACGTGTTAGTGAAGAGCCGCAAGTCTATCCAGGCTTATAATTGTCATTGTGCTTCAAACATTTCTTCTTCGTCTTCCTCCTCCTTTATCTGTCAATTACGATTTTATGAAGATCGTTAGACTGAAGTATGAAGAGGCCGTGAGACCGTGAAACTCCGCAACTCAAGCTCACAACAACAATATTAGAAGTACGTGCAATTTTTTGTTATCCTGTGCGTTGAACAAATTGATTTCATTCTTTGCCTTTCGTTTAATCATGGAACATTGAACCACCCCTTGACACAACATTGCGCCCATTGTAATTTTCTCACCATCCGGTAAAACCTTTGGGAAAAACAGATCTTTCAATTTAAATTGCTTTCAATACAATTCAATTTTATTTTATTTTCTGACATATAGTTACAAGAATTGCTTGCCCCGCAAGAGTTTATATTAAAAAGGAAAGAAATGAAAAAGGAATGATGATTTACAAAAAGTGCAAGTAAATAATAGAAACAACTGCAAGCAACCAAAAGCTAGGTAACAATGTTACTTTGCTTACGGCTTTTAAAAACTTTTTAAGCGTTCTTAGTTCCTGAACATAATTCCATTATTTGTCAGAAAATTATAGCTATTAGCGCTGGCTGTGTTTTATTCTGGCCTGTGTTTTAAGATGTAAGAAGTTTTGACTGACTGAAACATAATTTTTACTGTCGTGTCCAGTTTATCAAGAGGATCCCTCATGATCAGAGCTACAATGAAGATGGACAACAAACACCAAAAATTTAAAAAAAAATTACAAAACCTTTGCAAGATAACCAGTCGTAATACTGGAAGTAGTATCTTTAGTTCTATGTGAAATATCAATGTGTTTACCAGCGTTGAAGCCCATAAAGGCTGGTTTTCACTAGCGCATAAGCACAAGCATAAGCATAAGCACAAGCAATCGCATAAGCAAGTGAGAACACCCCCGACATAAGCATAAGCACAAGAAGAACGAACATGGTTCGTTCTTTTTGTGCTTATGTTATGCTTATGTCGTAGTGCGAACGCGAGTGAAATAAGCATAATTATAAGCGTAAGGCAGCCATCTTGATTGTATAGTCGAGGAAAGCTGGTATCAAGAAATTTTGTTAAAACTGCGCCTGCATATGCTCTTATGCTTATGTTCTGGTGTTCTCACTTGCTTATGCTTATGCTTATGATTGTGCTTATGCGCTAGTGAGAACCAGCCTTGACACCTAAGCAGTTCTTTTCTTCTCAGCTTAATCTCCTTTTGTACACAGCATCGTTCTTGCTGTCTTTATAATTGCTGTTCAAAACTCTCCAAGACGTAAACAGTATAAAATTGGATTAATCGAAGAGTTCATAAAGACTACAGTAGCAAAAAAGTGCAATTCTGGCTTCAAAAAAATGTTTAAAGAGTTCCCAGAAAGAATCAAAAACATAAACATGGGCACATAACATAAAATCAGCACTACGTAGAAAACAAAAGTATTCATTGAACTTTTTTTCAGTCGAATTATGTTCAAGTTACCACTAACATATGAACTTTGTACCGCTTGTTGCTGAGCTTGGATCTGTGTTTGATGGCGTTTGACGATTTGAAAAATTCGGATGTAACAAAATGAGGATATCAACAGGCAGATAATTAAAACAACAGATGCAACGAGAAGATGCAGTTGAACACTCCAAAAGACAATACCGAAAGAAAGAAAAACCATAAGCCACGCTATTACCAATGCGTAGACAACCCGAGTTGTAGTCACCATAGTAACATATCTCATGTGGTAGTGAAGGGCCGCAAAGCTATCCAAGCTTACAGTTGTCATTGTGCAAAGGGAAACTCCACAGGTGCCATAACGCAAGAACGACGAAAAATAACCTAGCAATGAATTGTGTGTTATTTCGTTAGCAAAGTAGACTGGTTGAACCACAAATCCTACAAGAAGGTCTGACTGACAGCCAAACTGCAGAGCAACGTTGTGAACGGTGAGCGAATCGTCGGAGTCCTGAAAATGGCCGCAATCACTAAAGAGTTGCCGATAATGGCTATGAGCATCAGAACGGCGTTGAGGACACAATTTACGACGATGAAGATGTTAGTAGGAGCTGAATAATCGGTCGCTGATTCGTTCTTAAAGATGGTGTTGTTGTGCATTCTGGTTCTTGAAAACGCTCGTTTTGAATTCAATCGTGCTAACCTCGTTGCAGATCCTATTCCTCTGGCAGTCAGTAGTTATGGTGGAATTACACTCTGCTTTATCACCTACTTTAAAACATCTGTTTCAATCTGCCTCTCATGACAGCAGTAATAACTAAAGTCGCGGTGGTCTTCTTCACACGTAAATGTAGCAATTTAACGCCGAGACAAAGGATACCTTTTTCTTTGGCAGAGTGTAATTAATATTTTCGAAGGGAAGCAAAATACAACTTTCTGCTCCGAATTGATATCAATTTTGCTCAGTAGGATATAATAGTAAATTATTAATTCCTACAACAATACTTCAGAACCCTATGAATTAAGTAAAAAATGATTACATTCTTCACGTCTGTTTAATTTTGGACTTTGATACAACACCCCTTGACAAAGTTCTGCACCCATTATAATAAGCCGACCGTGTTAAAAGCAAATAAATTAAACTGACAGAATTTTGAAGTATCACCCATGCAGTGTAAATCCTCAATTACACTGGCATTCATACAATTACCGATATTATTTTCAAAACAAAATTGTCTTTTTGGATTATACTTCTTAACGCAACGTATCATCACATTTTATTATTACTATTATTATTATTATTATGATTATGATTATGATTATGATTATGATTATGATTATGATAATTGATTATGATTATGATTATGATTATTATTATTTGTTTTTTTCTAACCAAAGGGACGTACAGCAATGACGAAAACTGGTTCTCTTAGAACTCAAACATGGTTTAAAAGCTAGCACAGAATCTTGCTAATACAAGCCATAATTTATGGCTGAGAATGTGAAAGAAACAGCATACGACCATTTTACTTTTTTTTTCCCATGACAGGAATTCATCATTCCTGTTGAAGCAATTGAAGTATTTAATATTCCTTCATGATTGAAGCCTTGGAATTCATATTTTTCCAAAAGGTAACAAAGCACACCTTCGAGCACATATTGACAAACCACGAAAATAAAGAAGCTATTTTTGAACGAATTTGCAGTGCTTTTTAATTTTGGAATTTTGTCATTTTGGCTTCTAAATTGACAAATTAAATGGGGCCGTTGAGAGGACGTATGGTTAATATATATATATATGTAAAAAACAACGTTGTCAAGCTTTATATGCGGGTTTAATGACGAGACAATTTTTACCTATAATCGAATTACTTGCAAAGAGTAGTGCAATTTTTACGAAGGGATTGCACATTGGCATCAAAGACTATTCCACTAACTCGAGTTAATTTAAGAAAATTCCAAATTAATAATGCATCATATATGAAATTAATGACAATTTTTCAAATTGAATAACTTACAAAAATTAGTGCAATTTTTACGGAGAACTTAAAAATTGGTGTAAAGTAATATTCTACTGACAAGAGTTAAATTAAGAGAATTTTAATCATGAATGTCTATCTTTTATTTAGACAAGCCCCTCTCGTGTTTGACTCTGTTTATGTAAGCTCGGGCGTATTAATTTGCACTGCAGTGCAATTAACGACAATTCGACCTGCTTTAAGCCAATCACAAGGCAGTAGGAAGTAATTTTCTCAGTCACATAATAAATACGTTTCTGGTTGATGCAATTTTTTTATGTTATCAAGCGAATGATTAAGAAAAAGAAAATGGTGTAATTTTTCACATAGACGCAGGCAAACCGTCTTCGTGGAAAAGTGCTGATTTTATACCAGTGGTCAATAAAATCGAGAAACAACAATACTAATTTTATTGATTCGATTTTAGGTTGAAATATTGACCTCTTGTTAGTAGCCTCAAATAGTAACAGCCTCTCCTTCAAACACTTAAAGCTTGACAACAGATGAATAACCTCATGCTCGCGCCATCACACTGTGAAGATGTTCATTTGAAGACATATGGCGCATATAAACCCAACGGTGTTTCATCAATTCTTACTCTTTAGTGAGGCGCCCACGTTGAACCTCTCACATCAGCTGCTACCACACCAATTCCGCCTTAACTCATTGTGGAAACTTCTAAACAAAACTGCCCATGAGGCAGGTTCCAGAAACAGATGATCATTCAAAGGTTTAAAATATAGCGCATGTTTTAATAAATCAGTTTTTTAATGCAAAACAGGCAATTTCTAGTTATTACTTTTGAAATAGCCTACTTTAATTACTTATGAAGTCACGAGCCCATATTGAGTTTGTGCGTACATTATTAATGCATGGAATAGATTATATTCGCGCAATTTGTTTGATCAATGCAAAGGAAACAGAGACATCCTAGGCCTTAAAGAGTTACGACACGGACGGAGGAAGGTGCATCTTGCCAAGATTGGCCTAAATTGTTCTCAATGTGCTTCTCGCGCTTCTCCAAACGATTCATTTGCGCAATTACTTCAATTTAGACTTTCCTTTGAATACCCAATATTATTACCAGTTGAAATGTCAAAGTCATTTTGAAGACACTCCAAAAGTCTCCCCATTGTTTTCGACTGAATTCAAAATTGCAGGTGGAAATTCTGACATCTAATCAGTGTCACTATATAAGCTATTGCTTTAGCATGCTTGTTATGAAAGCTTGCGGTTTTATATTTCAAAACATCTTTAGCAGAAAACGATAACTGTTCAAAATAGTGGTTAACCTCCTAAAGTGAACACAATCCAATGTACAAACTCGACTAATTTTATGTCACTGACTCTAGCTAGAAACGCGTGGGAAAGTGGCAGCAATCATCGAAACAAGTGTTGTCGACTTAAAGGCGCGCAGAACAGCAAAATAGTTTGGTAAAATCATTCATGAAGCTAAACCAGTCAAACAGTACATTTCTACCTTGGAATAGATCGGTACCTAATCGAAATTTTGACAATGAAGAAACGGCAAATGCTGCTACAACCATCGTCATTATGAACTGTCTCTTGAATCTTCCACTGATGCCAATAGCGATTTTTGGAAACACAATGGTGTTAACCGCGGTTGTGAAAACGCCTTTGCTTCGTTCGCCATCCCTTATTCTGCTGTGTGGCCTTGCTGTTTCAGACCTAGTGGTGGGTTTGGTTGTCCAACCGATGTACATCGCCAGAGAGCTCAAAGCAAATGTTTTCCTGATCAAACTATCGAGAACGGTGGGATTTGCATTCTGTGGGATCTCTTTGGCAACAATGGCGGTGATAAGCGTGGATCGATTTTTGGCACTGCAGTATCACATGACTTATAACACGTTAGTTACTACAACGCGTGTTCAATTATTTTTGATGATAATTTGGTTTATTCATCTTCTACCGCTATCGACTGTTGTAGGCTTTTGGGATGTGCCAGCACTTTTTACTGCAGGTCGTATTTTAATTTGCGTTTATACCATAGCTTCCACTATATCTTACATTGGTATCTATCGAATTGTTCGTCGCCATCAATTGCAGATTCTCGCTCAAAAGCAGGCAGCCGCACTCTCAAATGCTGAAACTGCCAATAACATGGCGTTTGTGTCATTAAGCAAAACCGCTGTGAACACTTTCGTGTTCTACATCTGCACAATTTTTTGCTATCTTCCATGGTTTATTTACCGAATAGTTTATAGCGATGTATTTTTCACAAATCCTAACACAGCGTGGGTTTTTACAGCAACTTTGTTATTTTCGAATTCATCCATTAATCCCTTCTTGTACTGCTGGCGACTTCGTGAACTTCGAGCAGCAGTTAAGAAAACATTAAAGAAAATGTCATGTAGGCAAAGCAGCTGAGATAACTAAAGGCTGAACTATTAGCAAAGAGAATTGTTTATTTTTCACACGGTCGATGACTCATTGAAAACAATAACGCCTGTGTTTCTCTCTTAATGTTTTTAGCCTTTTCTGTCTTGTAAATAGTTTTGAATTAGACCTGTAAGAACAGAGGAAATTTCACCCGCAATAAAAAGTTACGAGCGTGTGTTTCAGTCTGAAACTGTGCGATAAAAGCTGATAAACAGTGCATCTGTTACCGGCATTTGTTCGACGTTTCTGTGACATTCATTTGAAAATCATGAAAGATGTCGAATAAAGCGACCTTAATTGAGGTCGAAAAAATAACCGTTCTCTGCTCAATGAAAACGGCCATTTGTTTTGACAGCCTGAACGTAACAGCAACCGAAAAATCCGGACTGGAGAGTTCTCGATTTTAAATATCAAAAGGGCGATAATTTACCGGTCAGGAGTCTTATTGAAACGTGAACACATTTACTCGCATATCTATCATAGTTATTCATGTAAAGCGCGTTGGCTTATGACTTCCATCTCGATGTTTTCACCTTCCTTCAATGAATTACAGTGGTAACATCCGCTTACAAACGAACAAGATTTAAATAAATTTCAATCTTACTGGGGTTTTTTTGCCGACCACTTACGTCCAATGTTTTCAAAATGACTGCTGTTGGACCAAAAATCCTTTCAAGAACTCGTATTCAAGGCATTTAACAATCGTAAACGAAGTGGTAACGTTACGTTGATCGCCAGCTGGTCAGATCGATTAACCGAAATTTATTTTTCCTCAAACTAAAGCTACTCATTTTTAGACGATGATGAAAACTGTGAATGAAGGCAGCAACGATAAAACAAAAGTACCGGATGAATTTATTTTTCGTAGTGTTTCGCTTGTTTGTTTTACTGCCGAGCTCGATGAGTAAATTGATTCACTATCATTGTACATGTAAGCTTACTATTAAAACTACGGCTGCATACGTGTATGCAAACGAACAATTGCGTCTGTGTTTTTACGTTTTAGTCCTTGATATTCACTTCTCAAAATTAAACTACAAATATTACTCAGTGAACATTGGTGAATATTCACCGAGACGAGACGAAATCACCTGGCCTTCGGCGAATAATTGTTAACATAACTTCAAATCGTAAAGGAATATTGAATATTCCAATTGCTTGAAAGGGAATGATGAATACTTATCAAGAAAAAAAAAATAAAAATGAACCTGAGAGCTGCTTCATTGAGATAATGGTTTTTAGTATATACACACTCAGTGATCTTGGTATTTCAAGCAATCTGATTGGTTTGCTATCTCTGGCTAATGAGCATTATTCACCTCCTACTGAGGGAATACAGTGGAACCTCGATTTATAACGAACTTACCTCTATTTAACGAGGTCCTCGATATAACGAACGATATTCTATGTCCCGG